GAATGTTCACTGATTGACAAGCTGTCTGAGAAGTTCCCCAGCCTTTGAGGCATAAAATCCAAAACATCTGTTATTTAATGAATTACAACTGGAGCTGACAACTTGAAAGCAATAACTCTAAGAAAAAAGGAGGACAATTTGTCAAACTTACATGTGACGACTGAGCAGAGGTGCAAAAATCACATAGAGAAGGAACTTAATTAGGAATCAATCTGGCACTTAAATCTTGTCATTAGAGCAAATTTTACATGAATCCTTGAAATATTCTATGAGTAAAGCTTAAACAACTATAAAACAGTGTTTCTATCGAATTAATAGGACGAAAGTAGAAACAACTATTTGCATTTTTCAGCATTTCCAATAATCTGAATTTTAAGCTATTAAAACATTTCCTAATTACTGTTATGTGACTAAGGAGGCCAGAAGACATGGAGCAAGGGAGGAAGAAAGAACCAAAAACTGCAGTTTTTGAATGGCTAAAATCTATGTATCTGCAGAAACACCAGTTTGGAAAAGCTTGCTGACGAACCCATTGCCTTATGAGCAGAAACACCTCTGTGTTTCGCAACGCTCAAATGACAACAGTCGATAAAGAGTGAATTATGGTGAAGATGAGAAGATGAGGAGCGGTGAGGGGTGGTGGGGAAGGACAGGAAATCGGCCTCTCAGGTTTCTTATTATCCGTGGCCAGGGCTGTTTGTGATGTGCACGTCTAATTGGACTCGCAGGGATTGCGTTGTGAAAAGACACCAGCTATGAATGCTTTACAGGAGGGAATAGCGACGAAATGGTTTGCGAATGAAGCTGAGCCAGCTATGGCTAGGTGCGATCGGGTGAAACGTCGACGACGAGACCAACTAACAAATTGCTCCGAACAGGGTGGTAGCCGGGGCGGGAACACACGAAGAGATGTACGGGGAGCGCATCCTGGAGTTGCTACACGACGCGGGAACGGGAAATTCAATGTCACGGTCGGCGTTATCTACACAGGACAAGGAACATAGCAATGTAGCACATCAGCAATCCGCATCTCGCAAGGCGAACAAGCCGCTTCTGGTACGCCGTTCGACGCCATCCGTCTGGTCAACT